CATTTAGGATCCATTTTAAGTCATTAATTTACATATCAAACCTCTCAATCTCCTTCCTCATTAAATAGGTTAGGGGTTTTTGGGGGGGTAATATGTTTCTCTTTAATATTTTTATTAGTGGTAGAATACTTTGTTTTTTTCCGAACATTATTTGAATTTGAAAAGGTAATTTTTAAATGTGCTTCCCAGGATGTCATTATAAAATAAATTTTGCACAAAGTTACTTCAAAAGTAAAACTTGAAACTGATAGTTCTTTTTTTAGCTAAAACTGAAAAAGATATACATTATAATTATTTTTAAAAGAAACCCAAACCCATCTAAAAAGAAATTTACTTTTTAAATCAAGTAGATAAATAGATAGGAAATTTTAAATAGATAAAATTCATTAAACGACACTTCCTTCTTCTGTAATAATTTTGTCTTCAAATAAGGTGAAATAAAATAAAGACCTAAACATTATTTAAATTAAAAATCAGTAAACAAAATTTTTCCCACTTATATCTTGTTTTAAAGCTTCAAGAGGTAAGAATGAACACTCCCATGAGATATTTAAGTTTGTTTCACATAATTGGAAATATAACTTTCTTCTAACTTTGTGGGCAGGACTTTTGTGTGTTTTGAGTACTAACATATATTCCTCACCCAGAACAATACCTAGCACCTAACATACATACAATGAATATTTGTTGAATAAATAAATATGCTACAGAAAAACACTTAAGGTAGGTTAAAAGACAATAACAATCCATCTGTCACTTTCCAGAATTACTGCCCAAGATGATGTGTATGCTAAGGTCTTAGAACTAACCATTATCAATACAATCATAATTTTTCTAGTTGGAACATTAACTGAACAAAGATCATTTCCTGATACTATGAACCTTTAAAAAGAAAGTTTAGAAATCAGCATGTTCTAAAATATTTCTTGGGATATATAAGTCTCAGTGGCATATTAAGTCATAAATATTCTGGAAAATCAGGACTTGACACTGTCCTTCCAGGTTTAGAAAAGTGATTCAGAAGCAACAACACTCTAAAAACACAAAAGATTTGTCTGAGCAGCAACGCCAGGGTATTTTACAGTAATTCCAAATTGCCTGTGGCATCGTTTTACTGGTTTCCTGATATTAGTTTTAGAGTTAAAAAGAATAAATTTGAAAAGCGTCTGCAGGAAACACAAATAGGTTTCCTTTGCCCCTAATGTTTTCCCATACAGTGGTCAAAAATATAAAATAATATTATGGTTTTCTCCCTACACAGTTTTACAAATAATATGAGATACCATAATGCTTCATTTACTTTGGTAAAATAAGGAAGATCCTGCAATATACAAAGAACATTTAAAAAAAAAAAGAGGATTTATCCAGTTAAGAATGAGCTGTGGGCTTCCCTGGTGGCGCAGTGGTTAAGAATCCGCCTGCCGATGCAGGGGACACGGGTTTGTGCCCCGGTCCGGGAAGATCCCACATGCCGCGGAGCGGCTGGGCCCGTGAGCCATGGCCCCTGAACCTGCGCGTCCGGAGCCTGTGCTCCGCAAAGGGAGAGGCCACAACAGTGAGAGGCCTGCGTACCGCAAAAAAAAAAAAAAAAAAAAAAAAGAATGAGCTGTGAATCTCACATTAATATATGATAGAGTTTACTATAATAAAGACACTAAAATTAAGACAGAATATTTTACCATAGTTAAAAGATCCAGGTTTAATCTAGCTAGAAGAAAAAAGTCAAGTATGACATAACATAACAAAAAGTTCAGTAGATCATTTTGGAGGAAATAAAGTATTTAATCATAATCAGAACATATATTTTTACCATCTAAAATATCATCACTGAGTATGTTCTGGAAGTAAAAAGGTACATCCAGATAGAAGGGGAAAATAGAAATTTGTCTACAGACTGATTTAAGGCAATTAGTTCTTAAACTTCATGAGAAAAATATTAATAGTTAGATTTAAACTATTAACTTGATTTTTATTCTAATTTTCCATATAAGAAACTATTAACTTAGTCATTGAATCTCATTTCATGCTTTTTATTTAATAATTTATCCTTACACCTTTAAGAGACAATACAGACAACTGATTTCTATAAAGATTTTTGGTTTATATGCAGGCTTCTTGGTTATTTTTCCTGCAAACTATTAAAAAAATTTCAATGAACGATCATTGCTACATTTAGGAAAAAAAGAGGTTTTCCATAATCTTGTGCCAATAACAAACATAAACCTTAACAAAATATACAAAATCATTTCACAATTAAAAAGAGTAATGTACATATGTAGTGCAAGAGTTGAAAAAAATTAAAAATTACACAGTCCATAGTGTGAGTGAATAATTGTGCTAAGGCTTCTAACACCTCGCTATACCTTTGCAGCTCTTTAATTTTTCTAGTATGACTTATCAATTAGAGTTACCTTCTTATTGGTATAGTGAATGTTTTGCTTGGATTAACTTAAAACTTGTTACAATTCCCAAGTTACAAAAAGAAAAAGTGCTCATAGACCCCAGCATCAGCACTCTCAGAGGATAAGAGAACTCTACACTAATTCTATGTTAAATGTACTGACAGCCACATAGATTTTCTTCAGAGGCTTTTTATGTATATGCGCACATATGTATTTTTTTTTTAAATGGAGATGTGTGGGCTTCCCTGGTGGCGCAGTGGTTGAGAGTCCGCCTGCCGATGCGGGGGACGCGGGTTCGTGCCCCAGTCCGGGACGATCCCACATGCCGCGGAGCGGCTGGGCCCGTGAGCCATGGCCACTGAGCCTGCGCATCTGGAACTTATGCTCCGCAACGGGAAAGGCCACAACGGTGAGAGGCCCGAAGACCGAAAAAAAAAAAAAAAAAAAAAAGGAGATGGGTTAAGATACGTTAAGCTGGTGGCTTCTATTTATCAAGAAGGAGCTGCTTCTACAACTAAGTCAATTATTCACACAGATAAGGAAGAAAGGGTGATCTTATCCTCAATAACACTGTTCATGATCCAAAAATATTTGCTGTATTAATTTATGCAAAATCATAAAACATCAACAATCACTTGGTTACTTGTAAATAGGAGAAAAGAAATACCAGAATCTCCAAAAGATTTAGTAATACTATGCTGCTTCTACCTGAAAAATATTTCACGTATCTTATGAAAGATTTTTAAGTTGACTGCAGAAAAAGTAAATAGGTTAAAAAAGAAAAATAGCACAATAAAGCCTAGAAGAGTATTCACAAGTAGGCAGGGAGAATATGAAAGTATTGCTGTGGTTCAGAATCACTACATGGGCTGTCACGTGATAAATTTATTGTCCAGCTAAGTTTACAAAGACCTAAAATCAATAATAAAGCAATGAGGACTATTAAGGGGAAAAAAGGAAAAGTCACTGACTGTAGAAAGAAAATGATCACTTCAGTACCAAACACCTCTGAAAGGAAAAGCTACAGTGAGGAATGAGAAATGTGCTCATAAGTTACGTCCACTCTGGAACAGAAAGAGGAAGTAGAGAAGAAACAAAGTAAAGAAACTTAAATTTTTCTTTAGGGAGAAAAGAATAAAATTAATCTTTTATTAAATCTCCTAAAAAAAAAAAATGTAAAAATTTTATTTTGACTCTGACTGTAATGGCCAAAAACACTGGGATCACATGATGAATAGCAAACTAGGGTTCAACTTCTACAAATAAAGACTCAATAAATACTTTTACCATCAAAACTTCATTAAGATGTATTAATGAAAAAGAGAATAAATGAAAAGAGAATAAAAAAAGCCATCACATGGGAATCAAAAGGGCAAAAGATAGTTACATCAAGTTTCTCTAAGAAAAGATATAAATTAGACATTGATGGTATTTCAGTCTTTTAGGGAAAAAGCAGCTAAACTTTAGAGGATGAGAGTGAAGGAAAGGATCTCTTCAACGTATGAATGTTGTACTGTAAAACATGAAACAATAAGCTACCTAGAAAATGATCATTTTTCTAGAATAAAAAGGTAAAGAATAAAGATCTATGGACCCAAATATGATTGCTGCTACTAGGCTTTTTGTTGTTGTTTTATTTATCTTTTTTGGGGAGGCGAGAGGGAGCAGTGACACAGAGGTCATGACAGAAAAATCTAGAAAGACCAAAGCTAAACTAAACTAAAAGCAGCTCATGAGAATGTATGCTTCAATGATGAAGGCTACTGTCTAGATGATATAGTTTTCTAGTATATTTTTACATTTTAGGGAAACAGCAACAAATTAGGCTTCTAGCGATAAGTTTATTAACAGGTATCCACAAATTACAGAAAGGAAATAAATTAAAAAAAAAACTTTATGAAACAAATTCTAATATGCCTTGCCCTCCTGTTTTTGCCTAAATGTAGCTGAGAATCTATCTATGTAAAGTCACATAAGTTCTGTATAAAATGGACTCCATGAGGCCAATACAGTCTAAATTACATCAACAAAGTCATCACAGCTTTGACATAACATTTGGCAACAAAATTAATCAAATAATTATTAAACAAAGATATTTAAATTTAATCTGCACATATACATATATAAATATACGTGTAGTAAATGGAGTATGAGTTCATATATAATTTAAAGTGTTTTTCTTAATTTTACATGTAACTAAAATAATAAAGAATATACATGTATCCAACAGAGACTTAAATTTGACAACTGCTGGACATAATTTAGTCAAATTTAAAGTAACAAACTCGGAAAGAACAAAATATGCATAAGAACCCATAAAAACATATACACATTTTTGGCCAACATATAAATAAGGGCACCTATTTCCAAAGCATAATATAACAAAGCATTATACAAGAGAAGCAATTGCAATGCATTCATTTTTACTGTAGTTCAGTGTAATTATTAAATTAAAATCTTACTTTAGGAGTAGCCGGTTTTAAGCAAATTCAAAATATTTTTCCACTGGCAAATTTCGTATTACTATGACTAATCTTTTAGAGCTATGTATTTCCTTCAAAACAGCTTATGCCTTTGTACAGAATTTGGATCACGTACCCATGCCTCTGTCTGAATGGGCCTGATGTTGCTTAGTAGCACCTCTTCATAGTTTCCATAATCAATGAATTTAACAACTGCTGTCATACCTGAAGAATGAAGAGCTTCAACTTCTGCTCGGTAAAACTGAGGAGACAAAAATGAGTTTTAAATATGACAATCAATATTGTCTACAAAGGGTGATACGTGATGGAAATGTAAATACTCAAAATGTTACAATATTTGTATTTTTTGAAAGCTCATTTTTTAAATCAATTTTTATTGAGACATAATTGACATATATCATTGTATTAGTTTTAAGTGGACAACATAATGATCTATGTATATATTGTGAAATGATTACCACAATCAGTCTAGTTAGCATCCATCACCACACAGTTACATTTTTTTTCTTATGATGAGAACTTTTAAGATTTACACTCTCAGCAACTTTAAAATATACAATATTTTAAAGAAAATAATTTTTAAGAGAATAATATTTTTAAGAAAGAAAGCTTACCTTTGGATAATCATAAATTGGCTAAGAAAAAGAAAGAAATTCTCTCAGCTTTGTGAGTTCTGACATACGTACACTGAGCAGTAGTAAGATTTCAGAACTAAGAGGGTCAAAAGAGAAGAACATTCACATGCTAATGGGTGTAAAAAGAACTAGTGTTATGTTTTGTTGTTAGCCATTGAAGCCCTTTGACTAACACTGGTAAGATGATTCTTATGTACTAATCAGAATATTTAAGTATGGAGCAATGTATTTAAAAACAGAAATATATGACAAAAAAAAAAAAAAAAACCAAAGTAAAAGGCTCATTGTTGCAGTCATACAGGCAGCTGTGGTGAAGGAAGGTTTTCAGGTAAAAAGTAAGCACATTACTTATATCCAGGATTTATAGGATTTGAGACATTGTAAGACCGGACACTTTTATTTCATCTGTTTACCCAGTGTTCCTTGGCTCTTGGAAGCAACACACATTAACAAACTCACTAGGAACTGAATTTACGTAACAACTGCAATTTTTAAATTTATCTGTTGAGGTAACTGGGAGTAGGTCAACTAATTGGAGTATTTCCTCCACTATAGGTCAACCCATTCAGGACTCAAATTATACGTCTGAACGTTGCTTAGTGAATATGATATGGAAACGAAAAACTCATAAAAACTCTTATTTACTCTTAAGAAATGTTTTCTTCAAACTAGGGCAGTTGGATGCTCTAATATAACACTCGAACAGTAACTCTTAATATAACAGGACCCTATAGGACCTTCCCAGGACAAACACCCCTCTCCCTCCATGTCCTCCACCTGCCTCTTGTCTGTAGAAAAACTTTAGCCAAAGAATAAATTTAATCAGAGAAGTGAGAAAATGCAGAAACAAAGGAAAAGAGTCAAGCAAGACAAAAAAATAATATTGATAGTTTAGCCATTAAGCAAAGTCAAGGACCTTTAGTTTCTCCTCCAGGGCTATAGATAAATATTCTGAGCTGTATCCTTTGAGCTGTTTTGCAGATACTGAAACCCCCACCAGGTAGAAAAAGTTAACCACGGGCTTCCCTGGTGGCGCAGTGGTTGAGAGTCCGCCTGCTGATGCACGGGACACGGGTTCGTGCCCCGGTCCGAGAAGATCCCACATGCCGCGGAGCGGCTGGGCCCGTGAGCCATGGCCGCTGAGCCTGTGCGTCCAGAGCCTGTGCTCCGCAACGGGAGAGGCCACAACAGTGAGAGGCCCGCGTACCGCAAAAAAAAAAAAAAAAAAGAAAAAGTTAACCACATGATGACTGTAGCCATGACATAAGCTGTTCCATCTTACACAATTCCAAGAACTGGCCTCAAGAAAATGGGAACACACCAACGCTGGAGTTGAAGATTACTTGTACTTAAAACAATCATATGATGCTGATCAGATCACTGCCTGACCAATTTCAAGATGACTGCTGGAGCTGACTACTGTTCTGCATGTAGCTGCCCTCCACCAACCCCTCCCTCCACCCGTACATCCCTGAAAGTCCACTTTAAAAGCTCTTGCCCCCTGATCAGCAATGTAGAGTTAGTTTTTTGGGACACGAGTCCATCTTCTTCCCAGGACTGCCAGCTTTCTCAATAAAGCCATCTTTCCTTTTACTCAACACTTGTCTCTTGAGATTTGGCTTTCAAGCTATGAACAGAAAAGCCTGAGTTCAGTAACATTAATAGGCTCACCAGAATCAAAAAATACTAAACACAACAAAAATTCTTAATCTTCTAAAATAGCAGTTACTCTGGGTATACCAGGAAAGAACCTGCTTTCACTGATTTTTTTTTTTAAATAAGTGATGCTTTTATTTTTTTAAGTCTTTATTGAATTTGTTACAATATTGCTTCTGTTTTATATTTTTTGGTTTTATGGCCCCAAGGCATGTGGGATCTTAGCTCCCCAACCAAGGATCAAACCCACACCCCTTGCATTTGAAGGTAAAGTCTTAACCACTGGACCGCCAGGGAAGTCCCTGTTTTCACTGATTAACTAGTACACTTCATACTACAAAAGTTATTAAGTTAATCCATCGTATTTTCCTTTCCAGATCTGGATGCTAGCAAATTTAGAGATACCATGCTAGAATTTTCCTTATCTTAGAGTTCTTAAATATACATTCACATCTCTTCCTTCCTCCTTTATTTCGTAGCCTTACTCTTCTGTGTTCTGTAAATTGCTGTATTTCTGGACCCATGCTTCAGTTGTAAGCTTCTTAGATAATTAATGTCAGCTCAGGTAAGTTCAACAGGTAAGTTCAACAATGACAGCCAGTCATAATACATCCTAGGAAAACAAATAACTTGACATCCTTTCAGGAACTACATGTGAAAAGTGAATTCTATATAATGTGGAAAGTACTGCAATAAAGGTGTAGTGATATGGCACTTAATAAAGCTGAGGAGTTCAGGAAAAGCTTCCTGGGGCAGATGACAATGGATACGGTCTTCAAGGATGAAGAGTATTTAGCCAAGTTAAGAACTGAGGAGGGTGTTCCAGGGAAAGTTACAGAGACATAAAACATGAAGAAAAGTACAGGAAACAACAAGCAGTTTTAAATTAACTATGGCATGATGTAAGAAGGGTCAACCAACAGGACAAGAAGGTAAGGACCAGCTGATAGAGGCTCTATATGCACGCTAAAGACTACAAGTGAAAGATTTTAACTAGGAAGAATGACATATGCTCTAAGACCAAGATCACAGTGTTGACAGTTTCAGTGACAAGTTTAAGAGGAATAAGATTTAAGGCAAGGAGACCAGTTTGGAGGCTGTTACAATATCCCAGTTGAAAGAGCTGAAAGAGCTGAACTAGTTATGGCAGACATACAGGGAGAAAAAGCATTGTCCCAAATGCTCAAATCCTTCTATGGAAGTAAAGCTTGAGAGAAGGCAAGATATCATGAGGAATATTTTAAATGATACTAACTGATTATTTCCAGAACATCACTACAATGCAATTAAGATTATGCTTTCTTAATGACAGTTATAGGCAATGCTTTTCTTAAATCTTTACCTTAGTCTCTGGCTAGAAAATTGGAAAGTTGCCTATTCTTGAAAAAACACTTAAAAGTTATCTCTTAAATTAGGTGGTTTCAGAAGATAACTAATGCCATCTCTTTCAGAGAGTGAATATTTATCTTATTTGCTTAAAGGTGCATCTATACAGAGCCTATAGTCCTTCACTCTAAACTGAATGTATACATCCACGTAAACTCAAAGTAGTCATCTTAGACGATCATCCAATTATTCTAAGAATACTCTAAAAGCTCAAAACATTTTGGGAAATATTAGGCACTATCTTTCAGAAGCTATATGACATGAGTTTGAATATATTCAGTAGAGGCAATAGATGAATTCAGTATCATTGATTTTCTGAGAAAATTACAATTGAAAGTAAAGCTTTAATAACAACCTCATCAGGTATTTGAAGGCATTTGGGTAATAGCACAGACAAAACTATCTGATATATCCCAAGCACCTAACGCTTAGCAGCTACTCAATTATGGTCTGTTGAATACTCAATATTTGTTGAAGAACTTGTCTAAGTGTAATATCTGAATATCTTAGGTCTGTTATTCTCTGTTGCTTTATTTGTTTCTGGTTTTTCGTATTCTCTCTCTGTCTCTTTGTATTTTTAACCATGCCTCATAATTTTTTATAGGATGCCAGACATTGTAGATGAAATACTATGAAGAGGATCTGTATAGAAAATGTTACTTTTCCCCAAAAGAGGATTATATTTTGGGGGGCAGGCAGACAGAGTACAAGGAGATATCCTTAATCATGTAAAGGGTTGATTTTAGGCATTGTACTGGCTTGTTTGTATTTTGCACTTACTACTAGGGCACAATCCTTATGGGATTTCAATGGAAAGCCTGAGTCTTTTACCAAGCCTTTCAAACATTATTAATGATTAATTATTAATCATTTACTTCCTCTGCTCGTCAAGGTCACCATCAACTCCACACTGTCCAATGCAAACTAAAATTTCCATCCTCATCTTAACCTTTCACAGAAGCATCTGACAGAAGTGAACCCTCCCTCTAAGGTAGACAATGTTAGTTCTATAAACTAACACTGATTTCCAACTACTTCTTGCCTCTACCATAATGGAGAAACAGTTAAGCATAAGTAACCCCTCACTAGCCAAATCAAACAGTTGCTGTATTTTGGAAAGTGAGTGGTCTCAGCTGCAAGAGTAAGAGTCTAGATAGTGAAGAACGCCTGTACTTGCTTTCCAAGTCTCCCTAATAGCCAAGGAGAAGCCAAGTGAAACAGTTCCAACCAATGAAATTTGTCTGTTGGTATTTCTGGGAAGGCTTTTGCTTTTCTTGAAAAAAAGAAAAGACACAGCTAGTGCTGTCTCCTCCTCTGCTTTTAGCCTTGAATAAAAACTTGACAGTAGAGATGCTGCTTCTAGACAAATGTTATCTCACATTCATACCAAAACCTTAAAAGACTATGCCATCTAGTTGTACCTGGACCCCTCCTTGCTGCTATCATTAGATAACACCTCCTGATCCCGAGCCCTACAGCATCTTTTAAAAGATCCAACCACACTTCCTAGCCTGAATTTCAGTTCCTTGAAATTTTCAGTTAACTTTATTTCCACCACTCCTTTTAGCCACACACAGGCACACCCTTATCAACTGAAACTACTCTACATATGAAATATTTATTTCAAATATTTTTTGACTTGATCCTCACATCCACCTAGGTCCCTCACACTATAACTCACCTCTGTTTTTCTTACCTTGCTAATATCTCCAGTCCCCTAACTACTCGACTTTTTTCCTGTGTAAGTGCCCCCTTGAGAATGAACTAGTTAACAAAGTCAACAAATAATTATGAAATCCCTACACTATGAGAGGAACAGGGCAATAGAGGAAAAACTAGAGATACATGGTCCTGCCTTCAAGGAACTTAAAATCATGGTAGGGGAAACAGTTATCAATGCAGGAACCAAAACCAAAAATACTTACAAACTGTAATAAGTTTTAGAAAGTGAACAAGGCACTGATTGAGAAAGACAATAATGTAGAAGGGATGAGGGGGCAGAAAAGAAGGGCTTCTTCTAGAAAGTATCTGAGCCAAGTCCTCAAGGATCAGAAGAGTAGTTGGTGGAAGAGCATGTTGGGCAGAAGGGGAAACACGTACAAAGGCCCTTCTCTCTGAGGGCCCCTCTGTCCTCTTCCCCTTCCTGTTTGCACTGTGTTGGTCTTCTCCCTCTCAGCCAGGCTCTTTTATCTGATGCACTGTATTCCTTCTCAACCTCATCTTCTTTTTTTTTTTTTTCACGATTTCCCTCTTTCCCTTTTAGCCAGAATATAATGTAGAACTGAAGATTGTTTAAATGATTTGTTTCTTAAATTATTTATTATTAGCTAAATAATTAACCTTCCTGCTCTTAATTTTTTTAAAGTAGGCTGACTGTGTATTTATCTTTAAATTAAATGAAATCTGCAGCATTTGTGTCATTCAACTGATTTTCTCCCTTGTGAATCAGTATAATTTTACTAGAAAGAAAATATTAATAGTTCAGTTGATGATAACTGAAGTAACTCATCAACTTCACTTAATCACTTTTACAATACTTTTCTGATATGCAGGTGAAAATCAAACCTAACATAACTAAATCCTATGGGACTCCTAAGCCTCCATAAAAAATATTAAATATTTTGTTTTCCCTTTGATAAGTTATATATGTATACATCTATTCAAAGACTTTACAGGCTAGTACAATCATAGAACACAACTCAGTCCCAAAGTAATGGCTTTCTATGGTCTCACTAGCCTGTTACATTCAGTACTATTAGTATTTAATAACTTTATAACATGCATACCTTGTTGTCTTCCCAATAAAGTGCTAAACATTCATCTCCAGGTTTCCACAGTTTTGCATACTCCATAGGAATAGATGATTCAAGTACTTTTTCTGGTTTAATTGGCCCAGATCTTCTTTTGGGCCCACTATTGTAAAATATTTTATCATCATAGGGTGTAGCTGTGATGGGTCCTGCTGGCTTAATAGGTCCTACTCGCCTTCCCTTCAGTGGCATTTCTGTCTCTCCATTTGGAACACCAATGAAACTATTTGTTCGGACAGGATTCTGGTAATCAGCATTTACATTAAAATGTTTTTCAATTTTTACACCACTAAAAGCTTCATTATTTATTGTTCGTGGTTTCCTATCATAAAAATGATCAGGATTTGCTGTTTGGCTTTCTCTTTTCCCACGTTTTTGATTATTATAATCTATGGATTCTTGAGGAAGTGGATTTTCTTTTGCCTCTGCATAGGATGGAACTTTTCCTGATTTGCTTTGCATAGAGTTATCCCTTTTTTTAAATGCAGCATCATTGTGCTGGGAACTTAAAGGGTATGAAGTATCTTTAGTTCTATCATATCTAGAATATGGTCTATCACACTTGATTCTCTCTTCAGCCCATACTTCAGATCCTGAAGAAGTACTTGGTCTTTCAGAACCTCTGTTTCTAGGTAATCCACTGCCTTCTAAAACTGACTTTGAATTTTGGATGTCTCTTTGAAAACGAGGAGGTTTTTCATTCCTTGGCTGTCTGGTATCATTTCGAGGAAGATATCTTGGTTGATTATTATCTTTTACTCCATTTTGCTCAGTATTTGACAATCTGTGTTGTCCTTGATGAAGCTGCTGTGGCTGTGATTTAGGTTCTGAAAAGTAAAAGTATATCATATGCATATTAAAATGAAGACTCTGTATTAATACTTAATTATCAAACTACTATTTTAACATCTTCCACTATCTTCCCACCTCATTATCTTAATCCCTCTTTACTTTGTTAGAGTCCTGTATTTCTAATGTACAGTTTGCCTGGTTAGCCACATTAGTGAAGTAAAGCAATGATATGAACCATGAATAAATGGTGGATTCAAAAACAAGTTGTCTTTGTCACTGAATGTTTGCACTGTTATAACATAGCCAATCTATATATGCTATTCTGGTAATTCATTTCCCAAGCCAGTAATGAAATAGAACTGCAACCTGATAACACAGAAGCTGCTATAAAACGGTACAAGTACAACCCTTGCTCAAGTCCTTTCTGAATCCCAGTCCCATTTAAAATGTATAGCTATCATTGTCAGTCAAGTTCTAGTCTTTGCAAAAAAAAATATTTCTCAAATCTTTCTGGATCTGGAATTGCCAAGTGTTTGGATTACAATTAGATATTTACTGTAGACCTATCAAAGTAATTAGGAACAGGTACTACTTGGAAATACAGAAAAAAGTGTCAAAAATATGATTAAGCAAAATAGTGTAGATAATGTACAACTAGAAATCAAAATCAGTAACATGGTAAATATACACTCATAATCTGATGGTTATATTTCACATAATGATTTTTATTCTACTTCAGTTTGTACTGTGTCACTTACTCTTTCTTCCTCCATTGTTTCACATAGCATGTCTATAATACTATTACCAATCATATGGACTGGTCTTTGGTGTACACATCTTGTTTCTCTTGTCATACACTATAATCAATATGCAGATCAGGATTATTCTTACATTTCTCCACGGTCACAATACTTCTTAACAGGGGCACTATTGACATTCTGGGTGAGAATGTTTCCTGTATTTGCAAGAAAATTAACTTCTTTGACCTTCAGATACTAAATCCTAAAGCATTCTCCCTCAGGATTCCTAGTCACTGTGACTACTCAAACTGTCTCCATACATTTCCAAACACCCACTGGAGGAAAAAAGGTACCAGATAAAATGTTTAGATCAATAGGAATAAAGAGAAGACCTTTAAAAGTTCCTGAATGACAAAGCAAGTCAAGACTAAAGATCAAGGCTCAAAATGAAAAGAAACTTCTCAATGGAACCACTGGAAGCTAGAAAGCAATCTAACAGACTTTAAATGTCTTTGAAATTAAAGGAAAATTATTTTCTAAGTACAATTCCATATTCAGCCAAACCACCCATTAATTGTGACTAAGAATAAAAATTTTTCAAATATGCAAGATCTCAAATAATAGCCAAGACCATCTACAGAGACATTTTTACAAAATCACTTTTTCCCAAGATGGGCTTTATAAATATAACACAAATATCTTATTTTTAAATCACTGTAGTCAATATTAATTTTTTCTTTAGAGAGAAGAAAAATGGACACAAATGAGCATTTTCAGCAGAAAGCATGTTTTGGCATTTGTTCCAGTCATTATTAGAGAATAAGGGCAGCAGCCGTCTCTTGCTGACAATCTGCTATGTATTAGGTACCCCATACTAGCACTTTATACACATTATCAATAGTCCCCACAGTAGTCATAACATACAGGTATTGTGGGGTTTATTTAATAGAGAGAGGTAAAGTCCTTTATATATTGAATTGAAGAAATTTTTCAGCTTCCAAAATAAATCAAATATGAAGGTATTTTATTTCCTGACAACAAGGTTTGAATAGATATTCAGGGAGTAAGCTTTTTAGATCTGTGTTTAGGGATGAATTTTTCAAAATTATTCCAGTTAGGGACACCAAAATCTATGATCATCAGGAAATACAAATAACTTAAGTCATCATGAGAGTAACTGAGTATCCTGGACTACAAATGGCAGTTGAATAACCACATATACAGAATGAAGGCTTCAATTAGGCTTGGTAGGTGTGGGAGAATTTGATTTCAGTTCTTCTAAAAGAAGAAAAAAAGTAAAGATTTCCTAATCTATTTTAACTGAAGATGTACACTAGATTACAGAATAAAACAATTAATTTTACTACTAAAGAATATACTTCATTTACATTATTATGCTGAGGCAATATAGTGAGAGAAGAATCTATAAAGGAAACTGCTTTTTAAATAAGAACGCCTTAAAAAAAAATAAACTCGATGAGGCAGAAGATAAAATTGTGCTTTTAAAGAACATAGTTTTCGGGCTTCCCTCGTGGCACAGTGGTTGAGAGTCCGCCTGCCGATACAGGGGACACGGGTTCGTGCCCCGGTCCGGGAAGATCCCACATGCCGCGGAGGAGCTGGGCCCATGAGCCATGGCCACTGAGCCTGTGCTCCGCAACAGGAGAGGCCACGACAGTGAGAGGCCCGCGTACCGCAAAACAAAAAAACAAGAAAACATAGTTTTCATATACATCCATTTAATTCCAAAATAAAATAACAGTAAGCCAAGGAAGGTCCTTAAAGGTTTCATCATTCTTGGATTTCCTTAAACCTAATACCTTTTATCTTAGGTAGTTAAGTAATGATGTCAGATATAAAGTAAATATTTTGAAACTGAACTAATCTATTAAATAAATAAAAAAATATGCTCAATCACTAAATTCTGGAACGGTGATTTTAAATAAATTAAGAAATAGCCCAAAAGTCAAATAGAAAGCTCAACTCTGCATCATTCAATTCTGAATCTGCATCATTCCTCAATTCTGCATCATTCAATTCTGAATCTAGTGGCTCTCTGCCACCTTTCGTGAGGAGGCATGATCATCCCAAGCCACCAAAATACTAATTGGCACCAGGGGCCAGGTCTACAGTCACTCTAATAGGAATATACTGAGACACTCTTCTGTATAGGGAGGAGAATAAAATGCATCACTATTTTTTTCTTTTTTTTAATGACCTGAAGGGGAAAGATGAACCAAAACAAAAGCATAAATGGAAATTGGTAACATTTAATATTAAACAGGAGAAAAAAAAAAGAAAATTAGCAAAAAAATGACAGAAAAATTCATCACAAAATAGATAAAACTGTGAAAACATCTAAAAAATTAAAGTGATACAAGTCCATATGATAAAATTAATCAAAGACTACTACATGAGTTTCATTTGCCTTGTAATAAAATGTTCCTATTAGACCAGATCATGAGTTTCAAAATTCATCTTTACAAGATAATTGATTACAATGTTTTACAGCCCCATGATTTGAAATGCAAGGATCATTAAGAACGAATTTACTAATTGTCACAAATTATTTGGGTTTGTACATAAGAATATGCTTAATTAATCAGGTATCTTAAAATATTAATACTTCTTTGCAGAGTATTCATTCTCCAGTCACAGTTGTACCTGCTTTTTATAGTAAAAAAACAGGTATATTTTGTTTCCCAGGATGACTCTTCATTTTATTCTGAGACACCTACCTGAAGAAATGACTTCATTAAGACTTTACTACGTACCTGACTCTACTTTAAGGTCTTTTGACTACATTACTTCATATAATTCTCCTAACCACGCTGAAGGGCAATATTATTATCCCCATTTTACAAGTGAATTAACAAAAAGCAAGGCTAACAGCTAGAAAATGTTGAAGCCAGAGCTTAACTCAAATCTAACTGAAGCAAAAGCCCACAATTTTCTCATTATGCCAACCTGCCTGCCCACAGGAACAAAACAGAATGTAACCAACATGTTAACTACAATTTTATCACCTACATTTGTTCATTTCTGATGCGATGCAGAAATCACAAAAGCTCTTTGGCAAAACCAAAGGAATGGCCATTTATGGGCTAGATACTATTTTTAAAAAGTCATAGTACCACAGTACAACAGGTTACCTACTAATGCAGACATTAATTCAAGAAGAATGGTTAAAATTACTGCTGAGTAATCCTTCAACAAATAAAGCAAAATAAAAACAAATCATTAAAGATACTTGTTACAAAAAGATGGTATTAACTGATTAGTACATGAATTCACATTAAAAAAGAAGCATAACATTTTCTAATATTTCTATGTTTATATATAAACCCGATTACATTTTTTTTCACATCAAAATTTTTAACTAATCTTCTCAGTTATACAAATCAGGGCTTTTGTGTAAAATATCATTAGATATTGTGTATATTCTGTAATGATCACAAAACTCTTTGGCTATAAAATTTTATCTATCAGCTCAAAATTTATACTTTGTGTCCTCTGTAAAAAGTTACTTCCTCTATAAATTTATTCTGTATGAATTCTGACTTAGATTAAAAAGGTTAAGACAAGGAACTATGTTTCATTCTTAGCAGGTACATATAAACGCAAGTGGTTATTAAATGATTATGTTCTCCATATAGTAAAAAATAAACTGTAGCCTTTTAAAAATATTGTGTTATAGGAAGAGAAATTGCCCATCACCTCAAGCCTAAAGCATAACTTTTTCATGCTATATTAAATACGTCCTTTCTTACCACTCTCTTCAAAATAATCACTTTAACATCCATAGAACATTTATCTACTGGATATCCTTCAGCTTGTCTTCTAACCCCACTACTTCACTGACACTATTTTCGTCAAGGTCTCCAATCAGTGGTGTGTTGGAGCCAGTCTGAATATTGAACAAAAACAGATTATTAAATTTTCAGAAAATCTGCAATCTGGTTGCAGATTGAAACTAGCTAATTTTTGATAGCTTGAAATTAGCCATAGTGGAATATTTACACCACAGAAATCAGGAAAAGCTAAAAATCAGAGCATCCCTCCCCTGCCTCCCACCTCTTCCCCCACAGCCAGTTGTTAAACATTCACCAGCACACTCTTAATGCTATGTAAACCCAATGGACACCTCCCATCCTTATCTCTGTTTCTACTCCTCCTACTTTTTGGCAGCTGTTTTCTCAGTTTCCTTTGCTGACTCTTCCAGCTCTATTCAATCTCTAAATTCTACTGCCTGCTGAGTATCTCTCCTTGATTTTTTAAAAACATATCTTTAAAAA